TTCCTCTTCTTCGTCTGATCCCCTCCTCTTCGTCTGTGTATGTCTGGACCTGGCGCCTCCTTCCTGTGTATAGCGCCAGGCCCCATCACACCTTGTGATGAGCATGATGTATGTCTGGTCTGCGTTGAAACATTGAGTGAGCTGGTCCTTAGTATTCTAGCATTCTGCTTCGCCCTCTTGTACTACGTGAAAGAGGTCAGTCCCGGTCAGGTCAGGACTTGTATCTAAAGTCTTCCCTGCGCTATTAAGCACCATTTTGTATGTATCGGAATGCACATTGCTTGTTGAGATTCCACTTGCACCGCATTGTCCATTCTGTCCTTTTTATCACATTGCGGATCCTCGGTTATTATGTACATCGCCCAACTGGGCATGTAACAGTTGGCCTGGGAGCAGTGGCAGGTCCTGAATGCCGGAAGGGAGAGTCATCTAAACTATTCCATGGTGATAGTTGAGAGAGTGTGATGCAGTGTTGCAGCTCAACTGCCCCCGACCTGTGATGATCATTCAAGTGCAGATTTATTTCTCAGTCGTTCTCGACAGTTATGGGTTTGTAACATCAGATGCTGTACGTATGCTGTACCTGAAAAGAAAGCGCATTTTGTTATTAAAAAAGTATGGTTCATATCATTGACTTTCCCATGTGAGCTTTACCAATTGGACTCTCGAGAAGGAGTCTTATCATCGCAGGTTTTGCACCTCGTGATTCTTGCAGCCTGGAAGTCTCCAAATTTATTATTCAATCAAAGACGTGCTGTAAAACCAATGCCCCCGCGCTCTGGGGTTTAGACGTTACCTTAGAGGGAGCTGGTGAAACCCGGGCAGCTGGAATTCTGATTCTTCTCAAATGGAGTTGAAATTCCCTTGCAAGCTTATGCTGGGGCTTGCAGTCCTCTCACTCTATGTAGGTCGTGCAAGTAAGTATGTCAAATCATGCCTCAGAGAGCAATCATAAGTCCACAATACTTTTCCTGTTTGATTTTGACAATAACGTTCATCATTGGCTTAAAGGGTGCTGTCCGTTGATAAAGTTATGACTGTTAATGGGGTAAGCGAAAGATCCAAAGAGAGAAAAGGCGAGTGCATGTGGGGAAGAGAAAGAGAGAGAGAGAAATATATATATATATATATATATATATATATGACGATATATATATATATATATCGTATATATATACGATATATATAGAGAGAGAGAGAGAAAGAGAGAGAGAGAGAGAGAGAGAGAGAGAGA